AGCAGGAGCAGGCTTCTTGTCAGTGGTTTTACTTGTTGTTTCTGTTAAGCCCTCAGCTGTAGGTATCGGTAATACAGCAAAGTGTTAATTTTAGGGTGACTTTCTGGTTGGCTTTAAAATAATCTGGAGTTTATGTAAATCTGCTTGTTTACTAAACAAGCAAATGCCAGTGGAGTAATGTGTTTTACTCTGAATAGCCTTATTCACAGCCAGGAGGAACTTTCAAGAGTAAGCAGTCTGCCCAGGAAGTTTTTTGCAGGATCAGGGATAATATCTGTTAAATGCAAACTTGGGATAAAAAAACAGGCTGTCAGGGGAAAAATACAGTGATACAATTATAGCACTTGAAAGCCTGATGAGCAATATTATGTGAAAGATGCGGTTTAGAAGTTCAGAAGGATTCTGGTTTGGTTTTTAGCACTTCCAGCTAATTGTATCTTTTTTTATTAATATGAACAGTTTTTGTTTATATTGGTTTCCTGGTTTGTTTAAAACTTTCTATGTACCCTTCTGGGCTAGGAAAGAAACAGATAATCTTTGTAAAACAATTCCCACAAAATGGAAAAGAAATAAGATTGTATCAAAATTATCTATTTTCACACTGCATACTGTCCACATCCATGTTAGAACCATCAGTCGAACCTTTCCTGTGTTTTTCCTTCTACTGTAAGGAGCATTATAGTTTAACTAGAGGTGGAAGTGGATTCACTAGGAAGAGATTTAGCATGAAATCCCAGTGACCTGTTTGGAGCTAAGATTTCCTTCTGGGTTGATACCACAGTTCACAGTGGGGTGCCATGGAGAGTGCTAAGTACTGAAAGGATGAGGAAAGCAGGCAAAATTTATCCAAAGTATCTTTGTCAGAGTGACTTTAATGAGGTGTCGGCAGATACAGAAGGACAGAGTAGGTTATTGCTAACTCAGTGATGCAAGTGGGGTAACGTGTTGCTCCTATTAAGTTTGTGGAGCAGCAGAGGAAGCGGATATAAGAGCAGCATCCTCCAGTGTGACAGCACGGTGAAATTTCATCCTGAAGCAATCTGAAGCCCCTAATCTTGGAACCGTTTCATGATTCAAAAATAGTACTGAAGGAATCGATAATTCCCCTTTGGGTGGAAAGCTTGTGACGGGGTTTAATATTGAATTCATGTTCCTGCCACCAAATGGCCCGTATGTTGTGCGGTGCATTGATTTGTGCTACTGTTACGACTCCCGTGCACAAATGCGAACTTTTCTATGCTGTGAGCAGGAAACACTGGAATAAAATGTCAAGAATACTATACTTCTCACAAGGTTTATTTCTGAGATAGAAAGTTGCTTGCACAACTTAATGTAGACGCATTATGCGGGATGTTATTGGCAGTGATACGTTGTAATGGCTCTGGCTCTCTAACTCCATGTTGAGATATATTCCTTCTTCAAAGACCTTCAGTCCAGCTGGAGTTAAGAGTCTATGACTAATTTTGAAGAAATAAGGAGTAAATGTCGTTGCCAACTTTCCTCCTTCCTAGTGCAAAGAAGAGTTCTAATTTTAAATCTGTATTTGAAATTATAACAGCATCAGCTATTAGTATTAAGGACGTTAAACTGCAAAATGTTCTGGTTTTGTATGTCAATGCTAAAATTAAATTAAAAGTCCAGATATCTACAACTTTGAACTTTTTTTAAGTGCAGAGTTAGTAACCTAGTTTTGAAAACACTGTGTGCAGGAAGCATGATATGTGACTGTGTGAGAAGTCTACCTTGAAAGGTTTCTGTGGTACCACAATTCAAGCCTGCAAAAGCAATAGAAAGCTGATGCCCTTCATTCTGCCTTATCTATTGCCATTTCTTCAGAAGAAAAGCCAATAAACTTATCAACACAAACCACAGGCCAACTTACAAAAGGCTTTAGCTACTGGCACCAGGAAAATATCTGTAAAAGATTCTGCATGAACATGAATGTGAAGAGCTGAAACAGTGTGGTCATGAGACTGTGTCCTTCAGGGGCTTTGCACAGATGTGTTCTACCATTTGACATTTTTATTGTCTGTCTTCTGCTGAAAACATTTGCAAATTCATCCTGGTAGCATGGATTAATGAAGACAATTGGTGAAGCTTGCCACTGGCAGCCATCAAGAGCTTTGTTTTTCCAGAGCACTTGTATTCCCTGTCCTGCTGAGATGCCTTCTATGATGATGCTTTTTGAGGTCATCATACAAAGCACTATCTTACTAAACCAAAACAGTTTTCTCTTGGGCTCAACATATGTGATAAGCCTCTGTTAGCTCTCCTGCAGTAAGCACTGGGGCTTCAACAGATCTTTATCATCTAGCAGAAAAACAAAATTTTCTTGTACCCCACTTGCCACTCCTTATGTCTCCTTGAAAACAAACATTGGCATCTAATTTCCCTGTCAGAGGCAGAGTGCTCGTATTAAAGATGGAGTCCAAACCTTCATTATGGTTGTCACTCTGTCTGTAGTTCATCTTAAGAAGATGTAATGATGCATGACATTATGAATTCACCCTGGTAGCATGCTGATCCCAAATTCTCTTGTGTTACAGCATCAACGCTGTTGTCCTCTGTGCAGGAAAAAAACTTCCTTCTTAGAATGTGGTGTTTGAGAGTTGAAATAAGTGGCAAAGACCAGACCACTTGGGGTGAAATTTAGTTCTGCACAGGTGGGCAGAGAAGGGCTGTGGTGACTTTTAGCTCCTGAGATGGCTCTATGCACAGAGAAGCGAGTGTCACACACTGAGACTGTAGGATGCTTCCCACCCAACTTCATGCATGTATTTTATCCTGCTAGTCTGCCCTGCTCTCGCAGTCAGTGGGGAACATGAACAGTTCAGTGCCCTTCGCTTTGGTCCCTGCTCTCTGAAACTGCTGGGAGAGCTTTTCTCTGCTGACTCCAGGGGAGCCTCCAGAGGCGCCAGTCAATCCAGTGCCTAAAAATGAATGGTGCAAATACCCTTCAGTGATTCTAGTCATTAATAATCGTCCTGACACCCTACTGATACTTTTTGTTAAATGCAATAAATATATTGCCAATGGTTTGGTTTTGGTTTGTTTTTTTGTTGTTGTCTTTTGTTGTTGTTGTGTTTTGTTTGTTTGTTTTGTTTTGATTTTTTAAGACATGCAATAAACTCTAGTTCTGACTTGATCCACATTGCTGGACTCTGTTTAGGACAGAAGTCTAATGACTGCATGATTTTTTTGTAGTGCAGTCTGGAGCAAATATTGTGGCAGAATGTAGGCAGGAGTTTGCTATCACTGAGGAGGTCTGTTGTGTGAACAGCCAGTATATGCTTTCAAGGCAGAGCCAGAGAGGAGGTAAGGAGCACGTAGAGCCCACACGGGTGCTCTGCAAGGAATGCATTTCCCCCCTGAGCGCGCTATTGATCTCAAGGAAATGAAACACCAGGAAGATGGAAGCATTGCTCACTTGAAAGGATAAGGAATGGGGTAAGAACTGAATTAACAAGAAAAGGAGGGCATCCTGGTCTTTCCATCTAGGAGCTCTTTATTCAGTGCACTCAGTATTATAAAACTCGGCAAGTGTAAACCCCCTGCCATTGAAAGAAAAGCACAAAGGTTTCAAAGGGTCAGTCTCACTTTTCTGCATATTCTTCATCTTTAAAATCTGTTTGTATTTGTTTGCAGATTACTATGCCCTCTTCGGTACTATGTGCCATGGCTGTGAATTCCCCATTGAAGCTGGAGACAGGTTTCTCGAAGCCTTGGGCCACACTTGGCATGACACTTGCTTTGTATGCTCAGTAAGTAAAGCTACTCCACATTTTAAACAAAACTATGGCAGCAGTGCTTGTGAGAACCTGACCGATATGGGAGCTAACAGCTATAACCTCTTTCAATTCTCCAAGCCCAAACAAAAAGCACTTTCCCAGTTATTTGGAAGGTGTGTTGCTATTGTGAGCCTTGGCACCAGTCCAGAGGAGCTGGCCTGGATTGCAGCCATGTGTCCTAGCATTTAACCCTTGACGTTTACTTCCTCAGAGCAAGCGTTGAAGGCCATACACGAACAGGCTGTGGTTCTGAAGTAGCAAGAGTAATTTTGACGTAAAGACACCATAGCCAAAGTGTCACCTGCTAATATTTTATGACCAAAAAAAACCCCTCCTGCGCTAATAATCAGATTTTTTCTTTTAAATCCTAAACTTAACTCTGCTCTCAATTAAGAACCTGTTGACTTAAAGGAAGCTTGTGTTTACATCAACCATTAGTATTACATCAAAGAGTATCCCTAAGAAAAATGTAATTCTTATTCTTTGAATGTAGTTGTGCACAGAACAATGCTGATTTGACATTCTGAATAATGTATGGGGTAATTCATCCATCTGAATTGAGTGATGTTTTCTTTTTTTATCTAATTTCAGGTATGTAGTGACAGTTTGGAGGGTCAGACTTTCTTCTCCAAGAAGGACAAGCCACTGTGCAAGAAACACGCTCACTCTATCAACATCTGATGCCTTGAGCTCATCTTGTGTAACATATGTACTGAGCAGAAAGAAAGGTTAAAATGTCTGTGTTCAATAATTGGTTAAAATTATTTATACATTACTTTCTCAAAGAGAAATGTGAAAACGTGGGGGGGGTACACTAATTTTTTTATCAGTTAGTTTTGCTTCATAAAAACATAGGAATCAGGAATTGCACCCAAGCCAAATGATTAAAGTGCCTTTACTTCTATACTTGGCACACTACTGTATTGGTTTCATGATTTTATGACTACATTTATATCTGCTTCAGTACGAGAAGTGTAATGTCTATAAAAATAAATATCTGATGTTAGAAGTCCTAGTTTTGCTGCTATTCAACAAATAAAAGGAGATTGGCTTCAGCGATCCAGATCACTTTATTGCGCTGATGTTTTTTAAAGTGTGTCTAGAAGTATTGCAGCTAAACTCCATTAAAGAGGAACTCAAAGCAAAGATAAGATTACACAGAATATATAGTTCAACAACTGATATTTTTATCTGATACTCGTATACATGAAGCCTCCTGCACAATTATATGTACCTGTGCCTTTGGCAGTTCATTCTCTGGTGGGTCTGCAAAGGACAGATTTTTACAAAGCAGTTAAGTGAGGCAGTGGTTATGCTGGTGAACAAGAAGAGTTTAGAAGATACCACTTAGAAGAACACATAAATGGGATACTCTTCCTTAACTCATGTACTGCCAGAACACTAGCAAAAAAAAAACCTGCTAGTGAAGGTGTGTTTGACAAGATGGAAATGTCAGATCACATCTTAAAAATAAGGGAGCAAGGAGTTACACTCTTATGTTTGCAGTTCAGGTTTTAGATAGTTTTAAGCGCCTTGGAAAGGGGAAACTACACTGACTCTGCAGGTATCAGTGTTTTATATCCAGAATATGAGACTGTTGTTGAATGAGAGAAACTGCTGAAGTGCAACTGAGGACATTGTTTTTCTCTCAGTACATTCTTTACCATGTAGCTCATGAATATGTATATTGATGGTGTGCCAGGTAGCGTACCAAAAACTTATTTTCTTGCTCAGCTGTTATGATTTTTATTAGTTTAGGTTTTATTTCTTTCTTTTCCTTCAGATGTAAGGAATATATTGTTGAATAATATAATACGGAGTTAGGCAGCTCAGTATCTCTCAGTTCCTGCAAGAGAGTGGAGAAACAATGCTGTCATTATGCCATTACTTTGAGCCAGGAGACCTAGCCAATTCTGTGGCTTGATATGAATTTAACCTCCAGAGAGTCAGCGCAAGACCTATGCACCAGCTAAGTCCCACTTAACTTCAAATTAAGGCTTAAGTGGTACAGAGCAGATAGGGAAGAGGTGGTGACCCTCTACACGGGTTGAGTTTTGCTCCAGCAGAGTTGCACAACAGAGAAGGGGGCCCTTTTGGGGCCAGATCAGATTCCTGAAGGGAACTGAATTCACATGCTATTTAATTCATCTGGGATGTCAGAGCTGAATTTTAGTCTTTAGTGCTCTTTCCAGTAGACATTAAAAGTAACCATTTACTGTTTTTGTTGTGGTTTTTGGTTTTTTTGGTGGGGTTTTTTTTAATGATAGAAAGGACAGGTTTATCCGTAAAAACATGGGGAAAAACACAAAAAATTGCTGTGGTTTGAGTAAAGCAATTGTAACAAGAAATGTCATCAAAAGAAGGGGAAAGAAAACCAAAGTTGCTGTATTGAAATATTAAAAGATATTGGGTTTTCTTATTAATTCAGCAAGACAGGTTCATGTTGTAGGCTGTTTAACTTTATTTCCTGAAGTTGTTTTTCTTCAATACTACCACATTTATTTTTTAACTTCTGGTGGTACGGAAGAAATGGCATAAAGCTGTTTAAAATGTTTACACATTTGTAGATGTACCCTTTTGTGACTTTGGCTGAAAATCAGAAGGGTAGAAGCAGACTGGACAAGCTATGGCAATATATCAGCCAGGTTGCTTTTGAAATTAGGTGGAATGTTTAGAAATGAGACCTAGAGACTAGGTTTCAGTGGAGCTATATTGCACATGTGTGAGGAAAAAGGATGGGAATGCACAGGATAAGGCATTCAGTAGTTCCTGTGGTTCAAACCTCGCTATTTTAAAGTAGGGTAGAAACTTTTCAGTTTGTCAGTGTCCTTAAAATCAAATTTAATTTTGTTTAGTTTTGTAATTTTAATTGGAATTCTGTTTCTTAATCCATATTCTTTAGGGTTTGAAATTTTGTAGTCGTTAATGAATTAGAGGACAAAAGCCTGAAAGGCTCCAATAGTACTGCTTCATTTAGCTGCTTTGCCTTTTAATTTCTGCTTTTATCTATTTGTTTAAAATTTAAAAGGAAGCATAGAGTCACTGATACATAACAAATATTTAATGGCTCTACCGTATTATATAAATCAACTAAAAGGAACATAATTTTTATCATTATTTTAATAAGTGAGATTTTAGTAGAGCACTTTATAATAATGCCATATATCTCACTGAGTATTTATTACCTTTTTTCGTTTAGGACTATTTCATACTAGTATCTTTGTTATTTTGTTTTATTTGTAAGCCTGCATATTTACCTCTAGAATCTTTTGGCGTGTGAGTGAGTATGTGTTTATATATACTTCTCTATAGATGCACACATATGCGTGTACATTGAGAGGCACAGGTGTATATGCACATACAGATATGTGTCTTTGACTGCACACTTGACATAGCAAAAATCAGCACCGTTCCATCATTATTAGGAGATTTGTTGAGATTCCCAACTATTTTTCATATAACATATGTATAGCATTCAAGTTTTGAGGGAATGTTAGGAAGTCAGGAGAGACATATTTAGTAACCTAACTACTGTAGTTTGTTGCATGCATTTTCAGTCAGTAATTATTTTTCTTCCAAAATTGCCTGTAAAAGAGTCAGGTTTAACTGAAGGTAGAAGGTCTTTATAAGTGAATAATTGAATAGTGATGACTGTTTCAGTATATTGTAACTAAAGAATTCAGAATTATGTGTAAATATAAATGCTTAATATAACAATGCAATAAACTTAAAAGCAAAAGTTGAGTTGTGGTTCAGTGTGTTGATCTGTTCAGTTGTATACCTGTTTCTTCATGGAGAAGTTTCTTCATCTAGCCATAGAGTGGCTTTGTGAACAAGAGTAAGAAGGGAACTACATCAATTCACAGAATACTTGTTTGAATTTCCTTTTTTTCATTGTTTTATGCTACACAACCACCTATTAACTCCTGGTGATTTCCTTGCTTGTGTTTAATAGTCTTTGTCATCAAATTTTGGCTGTTAACATTTGCAAATTTAATTATAATTACAAAACAAAACAAACACCCAACACAAAAGCCCAAACTCTCTATCTGTCCTCATTTTTATGTGGTTGTTAGAAGTTTTCTTTTTCTGAATCATAGTCAGTAAAAGGAAGTCATGATTATACCCATGAATAGATATCATCTGAGTTGCTTGTTCTTGGGCTTTTGTCTAGAATGGAGGTTTGCTTTACAGAAAAGGACCTGGGGGTCCTGGTGGACTCCAAGTTGACCATGAGCCAGTGATGTCCCCTTTGTGACAAGGAAGACCACTGGCCTCCTGGAGTCTGTTAGGCAGAGCATTGCCAGCAGATTGAGGGAGGTGATCATTCTTCTCTGCTCAGCCTTGGTGAGACATATCTGAAGTGTTGAGTCTTGTCTTGCCAGTACAAGAGAGACATGGATGTACTGGAGTGAAGAGCTAGGAAGATGATTAAGAGCTTGGAACATTTTTCATAGAAGGAGATGCTGAGAGATCTGCTACTGCTCAGCTTGGAGGAGAGAGGGATCGGGGTGATCTCATCCATGTGTACAAATACCTGGAGATGGGGAGTAAAGGAGGAGCCAGACTCGGCTCAGTGATACATAGTAACAGGGCAGCTGTGAGGATGGTCAAACACTGGCACAGGTTGCCCAGAGAGATTGTGAGGTTTCTGTCCTTGGAGATACTCAAAACCTGACTGGATGTGGCCCTTGGACTAGACAAGGTCCCTTCATGTCCAAAGGTCCCTTCCAACCTCATTGAATCTCTGATTCTCCATCTTTGCTCAAGACAGAATGAAAAATGGAAATATGGTATTGAACATTGTAGAATATGTAATGATATAAAACTCAATATTGGCCACTTACTCCTTATTTGCTATCTTTACTTCATTCTACCACCCATCTAGAATACTTTGCAATGCTTGTTTAGAAGTGTTTAATATTTTTCCTAAGCTGAGACTGTTCAAGGAAATACTGCCTACTCTGGCAAGCATGATCTGATACTGTACTTAGCCTTGGCACAGTGCGGTCTCCACTTTCACCGCTGGATACTTAGCCATCTACTATAACGTGGCCAATTACTTCATGATAATACCAGCCTGGTAAGACTCTCCTTAGCTGAGTATCTCTTAACTAGGCAAACGCACTGTTGTTTTCTACCTTTATTTACACAAGCAAAGGAAAACACTGCACACAGCTCTATAAAATTTAGAGACAGCTTTACAGAAAACTTACCTCCCTTTCAGTGTTTAGGCTATGAACAAGACAAATGCAAGTCTATTTGCAAACAGTATATTAAACTCCAGAAGCCAAACTTTTAAAGGCATCAAGTCTGCACTTGACGTTTTAATGGCAAAGGTTTGGTTTCTATCAATCACAACGTCATGTAACATTAAAATGCACCAAAAAAAAAAAAAAAAAGAGATCTGTCATTCATTCATTAAGACACTGTAATCCAGTGTAAAATTTATAGGCTTAAAACTCAACGGTGTGTTTTCACAATAAATCCACTTTCACTGCTCAGTACAGAACAAATCTCTCTGTCATTCAAAATGTTTGCTGGTCAAAATGCCCTGTATGAGATCTTCAAAGAGTTTCTCACAAAATTGCATATAAATCCTTTTACCAGCAAAGACTTAATTTAGGTTTGAGTTTTACTTTCTCGGGACATTGGTTAATATCTTGTGCTCAGACAAGATCTTGGTTATATCAGAAACACATAGGGCCTAATTTATTATTAGCAGTCTGGTGTTAATTAGGGGGAATTACCAGAAATAGTTTGCTTGATGGAAATTTATTATGGGATCACACTTTACTGATGGCAAAA